GTTGCTTAATGTTGTAGAGTAGGTTCCAACTCACAGTGACTCTGCATAAAGTTTCCAAGGAGCAGCTGGGTTTGAACCACCAACCTTGCAGTTAGCAGTCCAGTGCTGATCCTACAGTACCATACTATTTAATTCATTTTTTACAAAATCAGAAAATATTAACTTTCTACCTTTCTTAATTCAGAAGTGCTTGGAGATATAGAGTATGTTTTCTTCATCTGTGAACAGTAAGAAAACTTAGAAACTTAGAATAACAAAGAGGTTACAAGTCTGCAAGAAATGAGCACAGTCAACAAAGAACTAGACCAATCAGTAGACTAATCCATTCTTAAAAGGAGAAATTTAACAATCAAATCTGGTTGCATCAGTGTATAACATTCTATTTTTTAAAAAGTTCATTATTAAGTTGAAATCGCTTTAAGCCCCCACCTGACTATCTAGTGCAGGACTGAAAAAGAACCAATATTAGGCATTAACTAATGCTTCACATAATTAAGGCAAAGATGACTTACGTCTTAAGTAATAACAACTTTTTTCTTTGATTTAATAAGCTCTGAAATGATCTGTTATATTGCCCCCTCAATCATTTTTCTATATCCTCTTTAATTAGGAAGTCAAAATAAAGGTAAAATAATAATAATAATACTCAAGTAATACTAGGTACTTCTTTAGAAAATTAAATACTTTAAAGGTATCCTGGTGTGGCACTGTATGATAAGAATTTGACTACTAACCACTAGGGTCATGGTTCAAATCCGACAATCACGCCTCAGAAACCCTATACAGGGTTGTTCTGAGTTGTAACCAACTTGATGGCACTTAACAACATCAATATAACTTCTTATCATTTGTATGACTGGTTTTGAAAGTAGACACCAGAAACAAAATAATCAAAGTGATTTCTTTGGAAAAATAAATAACTTTGTTTGTAACTGACTTATCTAGACACTGAATATCTTCTCTCAGTTATGTCATAAAAACCAGAGCTTCAAACTAGTTCAACCAGTTCGGTCATGGCCAAAGAAGCAACAACAGAACAGACCTGAATCTTTAAAATGTGGGTCAAATAGATGCTAACTGGAACGGGAAAATTAACATGTTGAAGCCCCACTAGAAACATATCCTCCCTCTTAGTATTACATAGCAACCAAATCTCTTGACCAGATGAGTAAGGAACAATGGTGCCCAGTTCAAAGATGGCAACCAACTATAACGCTTTTAATGGGTAGCTCTCATAGTCCTGGCAATAATCCTCTTGTCTCTACTGTCTCCTTTCCCCATTCCTTCCCTCTCTCTCTTCTTCTCTCTCATACACACACGCACACAAATAGCAGAGCTCTTTCTTCTGTCAGCGACTGCTGCTCACTGGTCCCAGCTCTGATTCTGTACATAGATGCTGTTTCTTCTACTTTCCTTTATCTCTTTCTTGACCATTGCTTTACCCTTGCTCTTTTCTGCTTTTCTGACCCTGACTACATGTCTCAGCATAATATACTCATATGCGTAAAAGCTATTGTTACTATCAACAACACTAATCAATGAATATATTGCTTATTTGGGTTCTTTGCCTAGTTGATTTGAAAAAAAAAAAAAATCTCACTAAAGTAACTAGAATGTTTTACTCTTCTCCGTTCTTCTATTACTGGCTGTGTAAAGGGTATTTCCAAGCTATGGTGTTTTCAATCGCCTCATACGAGCATGAAATCTGGACAACGAATAAGGAAGACTGATGAAGAATTGATACATTTGAATTATGATGCTGGCAAAGAATATTGAAAGTACCATGGGTTGCCAGAAGAACAAACAAATTTGCCTTGGAAATAGGACAGCAAGAAAAAAAATATCATGCTTGGTAAAGTAGAGGGTCAGTGAAAAATAGGAAGACCCTCACAACGAGACAGATTGACACAGTGGGCTTAATCATAACAACAATTGTGAGGATGGCACAAGACCAGGTAGTATTTCATTTTGTTGTGCTAAAGGTCACTATGAATCAAAGCCAACTCAATAACACCTACCAAGAATGTTGTTGTTGTTAAGTGTCACCAAGTTGGTTCAGACTCATAGCAATCCTGTACAGGGTTTCTGAAGAGCAACTGATGGGTTTTAATTGTCAACCCTGCAGTTAGCAGTCCAGTGCTTATCCTACAGCGCCACACCAGACCTCCAATATTGTTGTTGTTAAGTGCTGTTGAGTCACTTCTGAATTATAGCAACTCTGTACAGGAATTACAAGGAGCAGCTGGTGGATTTAAACCACCAACCTTGTGGTTCACAGTCCCGTGCTGATCCTACAGTGCCAGAGCAGGACTTTAGGACTATATAATAGGACAGGGCATTTCTGTACTTCCACAGATTCTGTGGAGACATTGAGGTAAAGAAGAAACAAATACCATTCCATATGCTTACTGTTGTAAAGTCCTAGCCTCCAGAAATGAAGATACTATACATATAACCATGACCATTTAGTGTTCACATTTTACCTAGTGGTGGTGGTGGTTATATGCCGTGTAGTCGGTTCCAACTCATAGTGACCCGAGAGTTTCTGAGGCTGTAAATCTTTACGGGAGCAGAAAGCCTCATCTTTCTCCTGTGGAACAGCTGGTAATACCTGGGTTGTAGTATGGTTATGTTCCATGGAGTCAGTTCCAACTCATAGCAACCCTGTGCAGGGTTTCCAAGGCTGTAAATCTTTACAGGAACAGAAAGCCTCATCGCAGAACAGCTGGTAGTTTCAAATGGCTGACCTTGCAGTTCACAGCCCGATTCATAAACACTACACTACCAGAGCTAATACTTAGAAATAAATCTGCACTTTGAGCCAAAAGACAAAGCTACAAGGGAGAAATAAAAATTGGCTCTCATTAAAAAGGAATTAATTTGAATACGTAAGTAAATCTCTGCTAAGGGTCACTACTCCTGAATATATAGTTATAAGACACAGTACAGTATGATTGGACCCTTAGAAAACACAATAGTTCATTGTGTAATGAGGAAATTCTGCCATTCATATTTCTTAAGTATGCCCATGTATTATAAACCACATACAATAATAAAAAGGAACACTTCATTAGTTTAAGTAATACCACTAGAACGGTTTTCCGCTTTGTATAAAATATGTGCTTTTCCAGTTAATCATTTAAACAACAGGCAGATAAAATTTACCTTAGTGTTCTACTGAATATTCACTTAAGAAATTTCCTAATTTGAAATAATTTTAAACTTACAGGAAACTTGCAAGACACCACAGTACAAAGAACCTTCACACAGGTTCCCAAATGTTACCATCTTACTATCTTGTTCCTTTCCTCCTACCCTCATATGTGCACTCACACACACACACACAAACGGTAATCTCTTTGAGAGCAAGCGGAACATAAGACGTTCCATCCTTCCTAACCACTCCAGTCTGTATTTGCCCTACACAAGCTCTTTGGCCAACAAAATCCTTACATAAATCCTCACACAGGGAAGTCAGATACAATACAACTAGATAATCCCCAGATTCTATTGAAATACAGTACTAGCAAAGTCTCATTTTTCTGTCTGGTCCAGGATCTAATCCAGGAGTATACAGTGCATTTAGCTGTCGTGTCTCTTCAGTCCTCTCCAACCTGCGACAGTTTTTGAGTTTGTCCCTGTGTTTCGTGGCATTGACAGTTTTAAAGCATGCAGGCCTTCAGTTCTGTAAGATGTTCCACCACCTAGGTCCAGACAATGTTTCCTCCTAGCCACATCCACACCAGGGATTCTGAGCAGGAATACTTCCACCATGACACAGCACAACACTTAAGACACTGATATGTCCCACAATCTGATTAAGTTGGTGTTTACTATGAAAACACCATATTGCTGTTTTTCAATCAATTACTCTTTAGGAGACATTCTGCAATTATGCCAACTTCCTGTTCCTCATAAACCCACCAATCTTTAGATCTTTTGATTACTCCCACCTAAATCAGTCACTACTCTGATGGTTGCCAAATAGTGATTTTCTATTTCTATAATCCATTTTACATTTATCAGTAGGCATTCTAAACTAAAGAACTGCTTTTCCTTTTTCTCCGTGTTATTAATTTATTCCTGGGTTCCTGGTTTATAACATGCACTACAATCACTCATGATCATTTTGTGATGCTCAAATTGTCCTATTTGGGGACAGTGAAGGCCACTTTGAACCGGTTCGTCTGTCATTCTGACATATTAAAAACATTTATTCAACATTTCCTTAAACTTTTTGATACAAGAAGGTGTTTCTGGGTCATCTTAAGCTTCCCCTATCCCACACCTTGAATTAACTCTTCTTACAAGGAGTTCTGATTTCTTTCAGGGCAGCAGAGTATTTAGAAACCTGTATGCATCCATATACTTGGTATGATCATTGTTTTTAGGTCCTTTAAGGAGTTAGAAAATATATGCATGTATTTGTGTTGTTGTGAAGTATCATCCCCTAGTGACCCTGTATAGGGTTTCCGAGGAGCCGCTGGTAAGCTTGAACCACTGACCTTGCAGTTCAAACGGCTTTGCAGTCTGGCGCATTAACCCACAGCGCTACATCAGGATTCCATATGAATATATGTACACACTATAAATACACATCCATTTATGTATGTTAAAAAACAAAACATGGATTCATACCAGTATCTCCAATTCTAAGACCTCAGAGTTTTTTCTTGCCTTCCTTCTTCAAATGTTTAAAATTCCCTTTTTCATCAGTGAGAACCATAGCTCTCATTATCCTCCATATAATCACTTTCATTTGTTCAATATAACCAAGTTCCCAAGCACACCAGCCAACTCTGTGCTCACTCCCCACACACTGCTTCCTCATCAGTGGCACTCTAATGTCTAATGTCTTCATGTCTAGAAAAAAAGGCAAGGAAGAAAGACTGAAAGGGAGGGGAGGTAGGGAAGAGAGAGACAGGAATGTGGGAAGAGAAGGAAAGTTGGAAAAAGGAAAACAAAAACAGAGAAGATGGGAAAGGAATCCAGATAATCACCTTTAAAACGTCTTCTACCGCCATCTTCCCTTCATGCCCTAATAATATAGTGTATGGGTAAAGCCACTGGACTGCATGTTTGACTGACATCATAGGAAAGGAGTCCTGTTTAGAAACAAAAACATACTGGAATCAGAAACAGCTAATTTATGCGAAATGGTCATAAATATTTTAAATAGACATAAAAAATTAACCAACAGGCCTCTGATATTTTCTAGTGAGTCTATAAAAGCAAATGTTCATATTTTTCTCTTCCTGCCCCACATTTTCCCCTAGGTAATCCCACCTACTCCCACTTTTCAGTGATGATGGCTTCCACACCTCTGTTTCTAGTTCTTAATCTCTAGACTTTACCTATTCAAAGTGATTACCTGATTCACCATCTCTGAAACTGAACACATTTCCTAAACCTAAAACTCACTACCATGGAGTTGATTCCATCTCCTAGCGACCCTATAGGTCAGAGTAGAATTGCTCCATTGGGTTTTCAAGGCTGTAAATCTTTATGGGAGCAGACAGCCGCCTCGTCTTCCCACAGAGCAGCTGATGGGTTTGAACCACTCACCATGCGGTTAGCAGCCCAACACCTAACCCACCCCTTTCTGGATTGACAAGTCAGTGCAAACAATACCTGGGAATCCTGGCTTACTGATTCATAAAAAAGAAAACGTAAAAACTCCGTCTTATGCTTGAGTTGGATCCCCACTGCCTGAAACCAGGTTCTCCTCAGTAGAGTCCCTCACCTTAAACAAAAGCTTCCAAGGGACTTCCTCCCATTCCTTCTCACTGCCAACACAGGTGTCTTCCTAAAATATCAATTTGGTCATCTCACACCCTACCTATGAAATAATGCCTCATGGTCATTTTCAGCCACATCACGAAATCCAGGTAACGTCGTTCATCATGCAAAACCCTACTTCATGATAGGCTCTTAGCTGGTCTACTGATCACCATACACACACCAAATCTGCAAGCTCTTAAAGACTCAAAACAAGTTCATGTTCTCTGCATAGTTGAGTGCACTGCACAGCAAATGAATCTCAGGCCTTGTATCATTTATAGAGGAAAAGCAAACTGAAATGATTAACTGTCTAATTTTCTTTGCCACATTTGGGTATACTAGTTATTCGTTTATTTTATACTTACCAAGATTTGAACTGCAGCTGGTAAACTATCTAAAGGAAAATCTGGAAGTCCAAGAGTAGAAGATTCTTGGGAACAGAGAGTTGTGGCAAAGGACAAAAGCTGAGAAACTCTAGGGGAAATAAATGATATTACATTTTAATTCTAATACATTTTTAGTCTTTTGTTAATTGTGGTGAAAATATACACATGATCTTCACCAATTCAACAATTTCTACATTACAATCCAGTGACATCGACGAGATTCTTCATGTTGTACAACTTTTATCGCTATCCTTTTTCAAGAAATTTCACCATCGTTAATACACATTCAGTGCTACCAATGCAAAATTTGCCCCTCTTCCCCTCTTTTTACCCCTAGTCAACACTAGTAATCTTTGGTTTCAGGTAAGTGAGCTCAAATCATATTTGTCCTTTTGCAACTGACTTTTACTCAGCATAGTGTTCTCTTGTTGTTGTTATTAAGTACCGTCGAGTCAGTTCCAACCGATAGTGACCCTGCATGGGGTTTCCAAGGAGCAGCTGGAGAACTTCAACTGCCGACCTTGCGGTTCAAACTGACTCTGCAGTCCAGCGCATCAATCCACAGTGCCGCACCAGGACATTCTCTGGGCTCCTCTATAATGTGGCATACATCAGGATCTTATTTCACATAATTGCTGAGTAATATTCCATTCATTATGTGTATATACCACATTTTGCTTATTCATTCATCTGCTGATGGACACTTCAACCCTTTGGCTATTGTAAAAAGTACTGTAGTAAACACTGGTGTGCAGGTTCCTGTTAGTGTCCCTGCCTTCACTTCTTCTGCGTATACACCTAGAATCAGAGTGCTGGGTCATATAGTCATTTTTGTTCAACTTGTTGACTGTTCTCCACAAAGGCTGTACTATTTTACATTCCCACCAGCAATGGATAGGGACTTCAGTTTCCCCACAAGCTCAGCAGCTGTTGTTTTCTGTATTTGGTTGCTGTTGTTTAATCATTGACATTCTAATGGAGATAAGTAGTATCTCATTAAAATTTTGATTTGCATCTCCCCTAATGGCTGATGTTGAACATCTTTTCATATGCTTGTTGGCAATGTGAGTATCTTCTTGGTGAAATGTCTGTTCTAGCCTTCTGCCCATTCTTTCATGTGTTGTTTATCTTCTGCTGTTAAGTTGTAGAAATTCTATAAACAAATTTTGGATATTAGACATAATCTGTTGCAAACTGTGTCTTCACTTTGTTGATGAAGTCCATTGGTGAACAAAATATTTCATTTTTATGAGGTGCTTTTTACCTATTTTATGTTTGCTACCTGTGCTTTTGTTAACATATTTTATAATCCATCATTAAGAATTACATCCCAAATAGAACAAACAAGATGGCGGAGCAGGTGAAAGTGCAGTGAGGAGTTCCCTTGGCAACAACACAGAATCCTGGTACAAGCAAGTTCAGGGGATGGTGCTAGAACTCTGAACCACATATAAAGGAATATTTACAAGGTTGGAAGGCATACAGCTAAGGGAATTTGTAGTAGAAGCAAGAAATCCAGTTCTTTCTAATTCAAGAAATTCAGCTGCCAAGCGGGGGAAGGATCAGAGCAGCCATGGATGCCTGACAGAACTGCAGAGATAAAGGTGTGAACATTCTTTTTTTTTTTTTTTTTTTTCATCTGTTCATTGGATTCTCGATGTCAGCATACCACCATTCTGGGGACTGGTGGTGGGGAACTGAGTGAGTAGACACCCCCCACAACCACCTACCCCTGGAGGGTTCTACTACACATGCACACATATCTCCTCTAAATTTAGAGAGACAGTTTCCACTTAAAACCAAACGGCAGTGCAAAACAGCTACTGTTGGCCATGAACTGTTTATCACTAGGAAAAAGGCCTGAACGGGGGTAGTGGAGCAGGACAAGCAGACTAAAAAGGAAATAGGCTGAAAATTGAACCCTGAGTTACATCATAATGACCAACAGTGGCATCTTGAAATTTCTCAGGAAGAAGAGTGAAAAGGGAAGCCCATCCCCTGATCACATCTACCTGGAGGCAATCACAAAGCATAAAAAAATACTAAAATACACACCCATCTAGGTATTAAGGCCACAACTAACTCCTGAAATATGCCCAAAAAACAGAAACAGATGACTATATAAGCACATGTCCCGAAATGAGATAAAGTGACTGAGGTAAATGAGCTGAAGTGGACCTACACTTCATACTGGAATATGGGCAGGCTTTGGAAATGCCTGAGAAGGAATTCAGAAAAGTGATCATAAAATGTACCAAAACACTATACGATGGAGTTGAAAAAAGTAAGGGAAAAGTCAAGAAAGCGCTACAGGAACAATCAAATAAAATACATACAGCATTGGAAACAATTCAAAACCTACAGAAAGAGGTCCAAACAATTAATAATAGAATATCAGAAATGGACAATACACTGAAAGGGCAAAGGAGTAGAAATGAAGAGTTAGAAACCAGAACCAATGAGCTAGAAGATAAATCTCTCAACACTAAGATAAAAGAACAAACACAAAAAAAGATTTTTAAAAAATCTGAAGAAGGCCTAAGATTCATGTTGGACAATATGAAGAGGAATAACTTAAGAATTATCGGCATTCCAGAACAGGAAGAATCACACAAGGCCACAAAGGAGATAGTTGAAGAGCTTCTGGAAGAAAATTTCCCTAACATCCTGAAAAGAGAAAAGATAAGCATTCAAGAAGCTCAACAAACCCCAGGAAGGATAGACCCTGAAAGAAAATCAGTAAGATACATCATAATCAAGCTCTACAAAATCAAAGATAAGGACAGAATCCTGAAAGCAGCTAGGGAAAAGAGAAGTGTAACATACAAAAGAAAGCAAATCAGATTAAGCTCAGATCTCTCAGCAGAAACCATGCAGGCATGAAAGCAATGGGGAGAGATATATAAAACCCTGAAAGAAAAAAAAAAACTGCCAACCAAGAATCCTCTACCCAGCAAAGGTGTCAATCAAATACGATGGTATAATCAAAATATTCCAGGATAAACAGAAGGAAAGGGATTTTGCTAAAGCCAACCACGTGATGTAAAACATCCTAAAGGGAGTGCTGTGGACTGAGAACCAACTAGAACAGACAACAACCAGAGACTGACTTATGTGGCAGCATCAACCTGAATTCATTCGACAAATGGAAGAGTCGAGAACAGAATAAAATTAAAAGAACAGAGGATCTGGGAGATCAGTCTATGATCAATACAATTACAATGTGAAAGAAGGTAAACACAGAGGAAAAGAGTTTCAGGTGGTGGAAAGGTCAGGTAGATTTTAGGATTAAATAGACTGTCTTTAAATGGAGGGAAAAATTAATGGAATATAAGGTAACCACAATGGTGGGGTTGGGGTGGTGGTTTTAGTTCAGGTGTTGTGGAGGGCAATACAAGAATGGGGAGAGGGCGGAAGAACAAGGTAGACAGGGAAACACTGAGACAGGTTTGCATGGCCTAAGTGGCACAGAGTTAAATAGTGATGCATGCTCAACCTTGGAACAAGGCTCTGTGATACAGGGATCTAGGCATAGTTGGAAGAGGGAAAAAATACTAAGATGCTTGACTGTCTTATGAATCTCAGTTTCCCTTGCCTACTATTGTAAAATAGACACTTGAGTGGGATAGACAGGAATGTTGGGGAACATGATTACAGAAAGCTTGTAAGCCTGTCTTCAGCCTATAACTAACTGGAATACTTAAAAGGGGTTCTAGAACTTGCCCAGTGAAATAGACCTCTTGCGGAGCCTTTGCAGAGTATAGGACCTTAGGTGGAATCCTGAATTCCATACAGAACCTTCTGAGGTGGGACATTCCCACTAACAAGGCCAAGCAGACTAGCCTGGAACAGCTAGGGCGACGGAAGATACATCTGCCAAAAAAGACCATCAGGAAAAATCTAAAACAAAAATGTCAGCATGACTGGCTACCACAAGAATAAGCAAGCTATTCGCCAGGAAGCCATCAAGGCAAGCAATCAAGTTCCTTCAGGACAAACTCCCCTCTAAGACTGAAACTCAAAGGGAACAAATGAGCATGCATGTAAGTTTTCTAGCGGCCACATTGGTCTACTGCTGAGTGGAAAAGGGGGAAAGCCAGCAATGAAGAAATGGGCTGAGTTCAACCATAGTCCATTGACTCCTGTTGACCTGGAGATGAGAGAGAGAAGAGGAAGGGCTGATTGGTCCAAAG